TAGGCAGACATCTGCCTTGGTGTGCTGCCTAGAGTCCAGCAGACATTTAAATTATGACAATATATGAGAGGATTGCAAGGTTTTTCACTCCCATGACTAGTTAAGGAGCCAAGGGTGATTATATTCCCATCTTCTAGGATATGGTTTGAATCCAGGACAGGATAAACCTCTGCAGCACCTGTGCAAACCAGACAAGTTGGTCCCTTCTTCTGCAGATGGAGAGCCTGAGATATGCTGGGTGTAACTGCCCAGGATCTGAGTCAAATGCTGCTCCCCTCTCCAGAAATAGAATGAGGATACAAGTGTTCACATGCTTCTTTTGCTTCTGCAGTGCTTTTGATGTGAAATCGCAGGAGCAGAGGCTGTAGAACGAGTCTGCAGTAATTTGAGCATTGCTGTGAGTCGCAGCCCGGCAGAGGAGCGAGGTGTCAGACTATGGCACGCACTGTTGGGGCACTGCTCCCCTGGCTAGAGCAACCAAAGCTCTCATTTTAAAGTGAAGATAAACTTCCTTGGCTCCCACACTTGTAAAATTACCTCTCTGAATGTGAAGGAGGGGTTGCAAGCAGTCTGGAGCACACGGAGTGTTCATCCTGCTCCTGCAGCACAAGGAGGGCAGGCTGGTGGCTGCACAGGCTAAAGCAGAGCATCTGCCCAGTCCAGCTAGCTGGCACAGCTCTAGTCCAGCCTGCTGCCTGGAGTTTGAGAGGAGTATGATGTGATGCACAATACCCATCCAGCCAGTGATGCTCCAGCTCTCACAGGAAATTGCCAGGCTTTCTGAAGGGCCAAGACAAAACTACACACAGGCAGAACCTCTTGGGGTCCCCTGGCCCCACTGGTGAAGGCAGATGTGAACAGACCTTGCTGTCACACACCCACTTCAGCTGTGGCTCATGGTGATGCCATGCAGGAGCTGATAACTTGCCCAGGGACTCAGAGCATCCTTGGGATGCAGCTGGGGGTCTCAGCCTGCACTCCCTGGATCGGGAGACTTGCTGCTAGCTCACAGCCATGGGTGCTGCTCAACAGCATCATACTCTTTCCCATTCCTGCTCATCCTGCTGAGCTGGGCTCTGCTCTGACTCATGCAGTATCAGCACAATTTCCAATCCATTCAGATCAGAGAGGCTTTGAGTGCTGCTGAACCAGAAAGGCTCCAGCTTGCTTTTCTGGTCCCAGACTGAATTACTCTTTTGGACTTTAGGAGAAATGCCTTTTTTATTTTTTTTTATTTTTTTTTCTTGTAAACAAAGATTACACAGGGAATCTCATGAGGCACTGTGGTGTAGCCTAGTTCAAAGCGGCGCTGAGATTTAAGAGAACTGGGCATTCATACACTGCCATGGGTGCATCATCCATATTATCATATTGCATTCAATCTTGACCACCTGACCTGACATCTCCAAAATACCCTAAAGCTCCTCTCCCTTTATGTTCCTCTTGAGGCTATGGACAGTCGAATTCCCCTGACAATTTGGACAAGATGATGTTTCACAGATGCACAGACTTGTAAGCCTCTCATCAGAGTCTGGCACAATGTTGTGGAGCAGAAAAATCACAACAGCCTTGTCTTACTGGAGCCTGGAATTCCTTCTGCCATTCATTCAAAGTCTTATTAAGGTCTTGTAAATACCAATAGCAAAACACATTTATATACAACCAGCAAGAAATGGATAAGCCTGCCAGCATTCTACAATTCCTTTAGCTCAGGAAAACTTATCTCTGCCTTCACTATGATATGATCAGATTTGTTCATGTTTGATAAGAACCTGAATTTGGCTGAGAACAGTTAATTATGTTTGAAATTAATATTAATCATTGTAGGGGGAACTTTCCCTCCCTGTTTTTACCGCATAAAGAATAACAAGAAAAAATGGCCTTAAACTGCAATATCTACATGGTTGAAAGGACTGGAAGAGAGAGCAGAAAAGGGATGTGTGGGGTTGAGCACCCTCATAGGTGTCACTGTCTGGGAGCACTTCTGCTGGGGCTTGAGAGGCAGGAGTTTTGTGTCTCTGGGTTCATCCCAGGCTTGGCACCCTGGCATGCCATGAACCAGCCATGACACCACCACGAACATTTCCCATTGCACCTTCTCCTTCTCAGTGTAGCCTCCAGGAGCCTGGGCTGAGCATGAACGATACGTGGGGTCAGAGATGGTCCCTGGTCTGAGCAGCCAGTCACTTTGAGAAGGAACTGGTCTCTCTTTTTGGTTTTGGAGGAGCTTCAGTGGCTGGCTTGGACCAGAAAGCAGAATTTTAGATGGTGAAAGCTGATTGAGGTGAATCCCCGTCATCATCCAGGGAACTTGGTGGTATTTTCAGGAGTTAACCAGATCCAGCTCTGTGTGAATCAGACAGTGACTGTCCCTGAGCATGTAGCTTTGTGGCCTAAGAGTTGGTGTTAAAGAACATGATTAATTTCCACCTGTAATAGGCTCCAACCAGCCAGACTGTGATTTTTCTAACACTGAAAATTGAGCCCTGGTGGTGTAACAGGGGTTTTAATTTTGCTTTTGGACAGCAATTGGGTACTGGTATGTGTAAGGTTACCCCCTGGGATGAGGAAGGGGATTCCTTTTCGTGTTAGGAAGTGGGGTGGCCCCTGGGGGAGCTGACCTTAGGAGCAGTGGTGGGCAGCCGTGCTCATTTGATGGCATTTCAAAAGGGTTTGACTTTGGACTGGTCTGGTCTGGTGCTGTGGACTGGACCCTGGTGTGTTGGTAGGTGTGAAGCTCGATTTTATTTGGATTTTTCTCTGAAAGAGCTCCAGTCCTAGCACCACTTCATGATGGAAAACAAAATGTATAAAGCAGGAGCAATCAGAGAATTTTCCACAAAGGCATGCTCTGATCTGAATTAAAATGCTAATAGAAATGCATTCAGGGAGTATCTTTTGCTGACCAACTTTATAGGAATATATTCCCTTTGTTTAGTGTGTCTTTCTTTCTTTCTTTCTTTCTTTCTTTCTTTCTTTCTTTCTTTCTTTCTTTCTTTCTTTCTTTCTTTCTTTCTTTCTTTCTTTCTTTCTTTCTTTCTTTCCTTCTTTCCTTCTTTCCTTCCTTCCTTCCTTCTTTCCTTCTTTCTTTCCTTCTTTCTTTCTTTCTTTCTTTCTTTCTTTCTTTCTTTCTTTCTTTCTTCTTCTTTCTTTCTTTCTTTCTTTCTTTCTTTCTTTCTCTCTTTCTCTCTTTCTCTCTTTCTCTCTTCTCTCTTTCTCTCTCTCTCTCTTTCTCTCTTTCTCTCTTTCCTTCCTTCCTTCCTTCCTTCCTTCCTTCCTTCCTTCCTTCCTTCCTTCCTTCCTTCCTTCCTTCCTNCCCCAACTGCGCTGAGCGCATTACGTAAGGCAGGGCTCGGCTGTCAGCCGCGATGGTACAAACATAGCTGCGGGCACATTATGCACACAGAGCGAGAGAGGAGGCACGGGGAGGCAGGGCTCTCCGGGACCGCGGGGACCGCGGCTGGCGGCTGGCGCAGCTCCCGTGCAGGGTGTCGCTGGCGGTCCCTGACATGCTCTTCTTCGTGCGGGATGCTTGAGACGGGCACGAGATACTAAGTTGGGGGACGAGGATTGGCATGAGGATCGGACCAAAATGGAAGGGCTTCTGTCTCCGATGAGAACGAAGGTAGGGAAAGATGTTAATGTCTATTGAAGCTCAGTTTACCCGACGAGGGGAAGGGGAGTTGCGGGGCTAGCTCTGTGAATAGGGGGCTTGCCGGGCTTTTGTCTCTTTTCTTTTCTGCCTCTTTTTTTTTTTTTTTCTTTCTTATTTTTCAAAACTATGCTCGTGAATGTAACTCGGCAGAGGAGCGACAAGCAGTTGCCTCCAAGAGGGGAGTAACACATCACTCTTCCTCGACAGAGATGACCTTTGTAAATGAGTTTGCCTTTTGGAGTAGACAGCCATATTTTTGTTTGAATTTCCAGTTGGAGGCTCTCATTGTGTCTGTGTGTCCCCGGGGAGCCCGTGGGGAAAGCGTACCTGGGCACCGGGCGGATGGGGACCCCGGGCTCCCCCAGCGCGGGGGCTCAGCAGCAAGGGCGGCACGGACAAGAAAAGTGGGTGATTCTGTGCCCAAATACCCTGCCAGGGTGGGAGACCTCTCCTTGTGGACCCAGACCAGAGAGCTGTAACAGAGTGAGTGTGCAGAGCTGAGGAACTGCTGCGCTTGTCTGCTGCCTTGTCACACTCTCAACTCTCCTCAAAGGTTTGACAGGAATCCTCATTTTTAAAGAAACTTGAATTCCAGCAGGGATAAGACAGAGAAAAAACAGTGATGGTTTAGTTTGTAAAATTTCTATCCATGCCATTATTTCTTTGTGGTCCTGGAGGATAGACTGAATCCTGATTGCATTTTATTTAGTCAGTGCCTCCATCCCATGTGGAAACTGCCTTGGGTAAATCCTTCTGATTTCGGTGCACATTCAATCCAACTCTGTTGTATTGTATCTCAGGACTGGAAGAATTGGAATTCAGTGGCAATTCTTGCTGGCAACAGGGTGGCTTTGTATGTCTTAGAAGCAAACAGTTTTGAAGGGGCAGTCAGACAAGAGTTGCTTTCTATAAATGCCAGACTTGAAAAAATTCTGAGAAATTGTCTGGTCCAGCCCCTGTGCTGAAGCACATCAGCTAGTCTGGTCTCAATTACATCCCTGCCATCCACAATCCTAAATTAAAGGCTCTTCAATGATTTAAAGTCTTTTCAATATTAAAACCAAGAAAAGTGATTTAAATAAAAATAATTTGCTAGCAAATGTCTGCACTGCAATTCTCCAGGGGAGTAATTTTTTTCCCACTTTAATTCAGGTTTTTTGTCTTGAACAGTAAGTTGATAATTTAAAAAAGAACCTGCCAACTTCATATAGCTCTCCATTACCAAGAACAATGCTATGGGCAGTTTTTAGAATGAAAGATTTATAAGGGATTATAGACCCAGCCATTCATATCTCTCATTACCAAGGAATACATACATTAATGTTAGGCTTTGTAAGGCATTTCTCAGTATTATTTTTAAAAAATCAGATAATAGAGGAAACCCCTAGCAGCTGCCCAACATTTCCATCTCATTTCCATTATTAGAAAATGTAACTTTCATCGCTTTAGCTGATGCTTCCATTCTGCTCCTCTAACCAGGCTTGAAACGACTGCTGGAGGCAATCTCTCCCAGGACTGGTGTGCTCTCAGGCTGATGTGTGGATTACAGTCAGACGTTTGTAGTATCAGCACCTGCAGCATGTGTGAAGCTATAAAAATGACAGAGTAGAGTAAGGGAAGTGGTCCAGGACTGGGTATTCTGTTTGTTCATTTGATCTGCTTTGTAGCTGGAACGTAAATCCTAATAACACCATCCTTAAAGTGTAATCTCAATTGCCACTATCAGGTAATTTATTGATCCTATAGAGCAGTATGCGTGGGAGTACAGACATGATCCTTTGGATCACAGTCTGCCTTAATATTAGAGAAAGAGAGATTCTGACCTCCTTTGTGTGAGGGAAAAGCTTCTCAAGCCGAGGAAATGTGATTTTAAATCAGCTATTGCAATGATGTAAGATCAGCGGGATTCTCTGGAAGATCCAGGTCCTGACGTTGGTGTTACGTTGCTGTTAATCTGAAGTAGCTCCATGGCAGCTGATGGAGATATTCAAATAGACTCTGTGAAATAAAGGTCAGGATTTAGCCCTTACATCTTTACTTTTCAGAGAAATAACAATTCAAAGATCACTTGAACAGATTTGCAAAGTAATCTTATTTTGAAGATGCTTCATTGCTGGCTCCCTGCTCCGTTCCAGAAAATCAAGTGTAAAATCTAATAACTCCCCAAAGACGACGTTAGTATGTGATGCTACACAAAAAAACTTGACAACAGCGAGGCTGCCAACGTGCCGAGACCCCTGCTTGTCACACTCCCTGATACTGCCTCGTTCTTCCTCCTCTGTTCCCAGTCTGTCTGATCCCATCTGTTGTCACTTGTTTTACACTAAGGCTGAAACTGTTGGAGGCTAGTTAGAAGTTTTTTTGTCCTTTGGTTTGTAGAGTGACATGAAGGGCAGTGGGCTTCTGGTCATTTCTGGCAGAGCCGCCTGGGAAGAGCCTGGAGCATCTGGGAGCTCCAAGACTTGAACCTGTGTGAAAACACCTCTCTGCCACAGCAAAATGCAAATAAAAACTCTGCTTTATCCTTAAGAGTCCCAAGCAGCTCTATTTATCCTTCTCAAATCTAGACAGAAAACTGAAACCAAACAATTTTCCTTCTTTCCATGAGTAAGTAGGAGCAAGAGCTGACTCTGCAGGCACTTCTCACATTCTGTCACCAGCAGGTGAGGACAGCCTCTCATAGCCAAATGCAAGGGTCTCTGGAATTAAAATGAGGTCTAAATCCCTGCAGGTGGGCTTGGGTGAATCTCATGGTGGCACTTGAAAATCAGATTGCTGTCAGCTCTTTGGTGCCTGTTATTCACAGAGGTTGTCACTCCACGTCAGAGCTGCCAGAGGGACAGGTGGGCACATCTTGACTAAAAAAGTCCAGTTTATTGTGCAGGAGGGCTGAAGCTGGGACTGGACAGAGACATGGACACAACATCCTCAGTTCTCCAAGCAGCTCCATGGCAGGGCTTGCCAGCAGAGGGCTGGGAATATACATCCAAGAGCAGGTTTCATAGAGGACTTGTTTCTTATTCCACAAGGTAATAACCCATTTGGTTGCTGGGCCACGCTGGGTGATCATATAGTGGGTACTTTAGAAACTCTTTAAAATATTTGGTAAATTGGGTATTAAACACTAAGTGCATTACACCGTGTAATGGACTCAACTGCAGCAAGCTGTGGGTGATTAAAACATTTCTGCTTTTGCATAACCAGGGTGCACAGATGCAGGAATTCTAGGGAAAGGGAAGGGATACATGGTAAAATGGGCTGGTGTATCAAAATTGAAGCAGATAAATAGAACACACTGAACAGGAAAGTTACTACATTTCTTGTGTTGATGATTAAATTTCACTTGATTAGAAGTCATGGGTGGGTTGTAAATATTTGGTAGGTTAATAGAGGTACTTATAAATATTACCAGAACCAGTTAAATTCTGTAGCCTAAGATGTCTGAGCCCCCATTTTCAGAGCAAATGAATGTGCACAATAGCAATGTCCCCATGCCACCTTAAGAGACTGTGAAGTTGATTGAGTACCACAAAGTGAAAAGAATGAAGAAATGCATAAATATTGCACTCCTTTTGTTAGCCTCCATTTTAATTTGTTTTATAATCCTCAGCACATGCACAATTTGCCTTAACCCTCAGTGCATCGCCTTCAGCAAATTACACTGGCATAAGAATTTCAGTAATTTCAGTTTCTCTGCTGCTGACACTTGCCAGTGCACGCTACTGAATTTGCAATGAGCACCTGGCTCGAGCCACGCAGAACTGGCTACTGCTCTATTTTCCTTTCAGAAGCCTGTGTTTGGTGCTTTTTTGTTTATCAAAGCACTGCTTCCCTTTCAGAGTGGCTGAAAGAACTTTTTCAATGAACTTTTCGTCTGTTCAGAAACACACGCGGAGGGTAAATGGAGATTAATTACTGTCGAATTTACTAAGCTTTGCATCCAAAGATAATGAATTTTGAGTGTTCCTGTGTACAGCAAATTCAGCAAGGGAACTCAGTAAATAAAGTGTGTAGCATTTAGATAGTGCTCTTTAAGCATTAATGGAGCTATTCTCGTTTATTGAATCTTATTAACTTTATCTGTTTATTGTAGATTTTGGGGATTAGCAAACCCCCGTGGTGTTACTGTTGGTTTGTTAAGCCCTGTTGGCTCTGCTTTCAAAGCCACTTAGGTTTTGACCACTGTATCTCTCACAAAGAATGGTTAAGTTGTCCTTGGGCCTTACTTAGAGAAGTTCACAGTGACTTGAAGCAGAGAAACTTTGGGAAGTACACTATGCCCTGAGAATCCTAAATAGCAAAGGCTGTGACAGCTGGCCTTTGAGACTGTCAGAAAGGAAATCAGGAAGGGAAATTACCCCTGGGAAAGTGAAGTCTGGAGTCTGGGTTACACCTGTGGATTGCTCTAGTCTTTCACACTTCTTGGATGGCACTGAAAAGAAGTTTATATAAGCAGGGGTTTTGTGCAGCTGTATGCAACAAAACATTTGAACAGGCTCTAAACTTTAGTCTCACAAGCTATCCTGCAGAAGTTTGGGTTAGGATCCTGCCCTGTCTGGACAGCTATGCACATGAAAATCACTTTACAGCACTCTTCTAGAAGCCAAGAGGCAGAATAATTCCTTTGCATATGTTGTGAAACCAGTCCCGGTGTTTTTCATACCAAAAGGCCAAAAGACAAAAGTTGCTCATCCCTCCAAAAGCATTCACATTGCTTCTGTGGAGCCCAAGATCCCTGTTTTGATACAACTCTGTTTTTCACTCTCATTTTGGGTATCCCATCACAATGGACACACCCCGGTGCTAATGACACTTGTGAGATATCCAGAGATGTTTATTTCTGGGACTTCTGCTTTCCCAGCTGGAGTAACCTCACATAGGCAGTGAGCACACAAACACAACATTTCAGGTTCCTGTGCAGCACCCACAGACACACAAAACTCGTAGCATGAGCTGGGAAGTGCTGGTGTTCCCTCAGCAGCCCTTCCACAGGGCGCCTGCACAGGCTGTCGAGCAGCTGAAGGGGTACCTCCTTCCCTGCCTTATTATCAGTTTGACACAGAGGTTAATGAGGCCATATGTAATTCTCTGAGCTTGTAGATAGTTTTCAAAAAAAAGGCAATTCAAGAAATCATGAAGTCCTGTGTCTGCTACTGTGAATCATAATTTTATAAATACCTGGGAGAGAGGATGTAGGGGCATAACTCAGAGCAGAGTTTGGCTTTGGAACAACCGTACCGTAACATTATGCCTCTGGAAAAGCAGAGCAGTTTCTGTTCTGTAGCATTTCCTAAACCCATCAGATTTAAAGACAATATATCACTGAACATAAAACCAAAAGGTTATTTTTCCTCCCCGGCTGTGCTTTGTAGCAGAGCAGTGAGCTCCATGCCTGACTGGGCCCTGCACTCGTGCCCAGACACAGCAGGGGAGGGTTATTTACTGTCCAGGGAGAGGAAGCTCTGTCATCCTGGGCAGGAGCTGGACACTGCACTGCCCACGGGAATTGCATTGCAGAGCACTGGGAACTCAAAATCCAGCACAGGGACTTGTATGATTACTGCTGGATCGTGAGAACACAGTCCCTGTCCCCAAATGCTCCCTGCTGAAGGTTGGGAGGAAATAAGAGCATTTTGGCTCAGCTTTTAAGGAGGAAGGATTGTGGTTCAGATTCTGGTATTTCATCCATGATCCAAAGCCTAGGGAGTGCTGTCCATTCTCAGCAAAACTGAGTCCAGGCTGCACTATGCTACGACCTACCCTTGGCTGCACACCAGGTTGAGTGGGTTCAACCTGAACCTCTCTGCCAGCACCAGCTCAGCGTTGGGACCACATCACTGGGAGGTGCAGGTAGGCTTGGCACACTGTTGTGTTGGAGCCTGGAATGATCACAACATGCCTTGGTGACCAAAGCTCTCACTTTGTGTATCAAATCCTTTCAGGGGAGGGAAACAGGAACTGCTCCCACGTGCCCTGCTCCCTTCTCAGTGCCCAGACACCATGTCCCAGCTCAAGCCATCCTGCACCCTGGCTTCAATCATCCATGTCCTGCTCAGCCTGTGCAAACCCAGGCTGTAGCAGAGGTGCCCAGGAAGGTCTTACATTTTCTAAACCTTTGTGTGGCTGAGGTTGCCTGAAAGTTCCAAAAGACCTTCTCTTGGCTTCTGTGGGACCTCACAGAAAAGCACGCTGGGGGGCTATGCAAACACCACAGAGGCACTAAAATTGAATTAATAATAACAATCACAGCAATAACAGCAACATAATAATTAATAATAATGTTTAAAATGCAAGGCAGGGACTGGAGGGAAGAAAGCTGATGATGATGACATTAAGAACATAAAGCTTGCTAGCTCAGTGTGTGGGTCACGGGTATATTTAGGAAGCACAGAGAAAATACACTGGTGAGCACTCATTTCCTCAGTCATTTCATTAAGTATTTTACTTAATAGTGGCTGTTGTCGAGGCAATTTGCCACCCTTTTCAAAAGCAGAACTCAGACAGAGACACCCACTCTTTAGCTGTGAATCACAGGTTGCATTCCCCTGGGAAGGTCACAAAGTCTTAACTGCTGCAGGTATGGGAAAGCTGAAAAAATGAGAAAGCTATGAGTGAGATGATTATGAAGCAAAAAATGATAGCTGCCCCAAAATGCCAGCCTGGTAGTTATCTATGAAGCTTCTCCTACACACCTGCCTGGTATATTGGTCATTCTGAAGGCAGTGTTGGTAGGGATTGCATGTGTTTTATGTTTGGGACTATATGGAAGGAAATAAAACACTTGCATGATGCATATTTCATGTAAAAAATGTCTGATCCATAACCAGTGTATGCCAGCATGGCTCTAAGCCACCCCAGCATGGACTTCAGTAATGGTCAGCTCTTTCTTATGGTATTTTACTGGATTTAAATAAATGTAAAATATGTGTGCAGCTGGGCATGTGGGCTTTCTTTCTGAGAACACACACCTAATTTACCTTAACTTTCCCTGTGTGCCTCCTTTATCTACACTGCAATATAAACTCCACCAAATCTGTGAGACCAAAACTCTGACCACATTTGGAATTCAACCAGCAAGACAAAAATCCCGAGCCCTTCAGCTTGTTCCACTTCAGAGGAGACCAGAGGACAGATGCAGGTGTCTTTTTGATGTGATTTATAAACATATTACAAAGTCAGTTAATATACAAAGTCCTGTTTCCCTGACCACAGCAGATATCAAACAAATGAGAGAGCAGTTTCCTTCTTCAGGGTGGCTTCTTTCATGCAACATTCATCCACACCTGTTTTTCCTCGGTGTCTTGTTCCTTGGTTTGGTTATCCTATGAGGGAAGGATTTCCCCCTCCCTCATACAGTCACAGGGTATCTCATAACACATGGCAGACCAGCTAAGGGACTCAATCCCTTCTTCTCTTCAAGCTCCAAGTCCCCATTTTGGTGATTTCTTTGGGTTTATTTTAGGGAAAGCCCTTGTTCCTTTTGTGCAGGAGCTCAGCTGTTGTGGCAGTGCAGTGTTGCAGCTTCCCAGCACCCAACATCTCCTCATGTTCAGAACAGGAAAATCTCCCCAAATGCAGCAGTCCTGAGGCAGAGCCATTGGCTTGGGCCCCTGACAACAGGCTGAACAGCTATTTAATGCTGATTTAGTAGTAAAAGCAGTATAAATAGCAGCAGCAAAAATGCACCACTCCTTTTGGTTTTTTCCAACAAAATCTTGTTCATGGCTCCCCCATGCAACAAACACCAGAGGAAAGCAGTGGCTCTCAGGACATGACATGGGGTCCCCTGGGCCACAGCACTGAAGAGGCACAGCCCAAAGCCAAACCCATTCCAGTCCCTCTGAAAAGAGGCAGATATCATCATTCTTCTGCTCTTGGTGGCACAAACACTTGCAAAGCTTGGCTGTGCTGAAGGAACATTAAAGGTAGAAGACATCTCCAGGGTAGACAGCACTCAAACCACTTGGGACTTTGAAGACAGGAGGTCAAAAACAATATATCAAGTCAGTTATCAGCCAGTCCTGTCTTCCCTTCCTCCCCTCCCTCTGGCTCAGAGATGCAGGAGCTCAGGTCCTTTGATGTAAACCTGTCAGACACTTTGGTCTCTTCTCTTCTCTGCCCTGCCCTATTCTTACACACACACACTTGTGTGAGATTTTAATTATAGGCATGGTCATATTGGTAAGAAAACCCTTCCTTAATTACATGCTCAATTAATTCTAGTAGCTTAGGAGTTGAAATACAAAGTTAGGTGAAATCATTACTGCTTCATCTAAAGTTGAATCTCTCCATGGCCAGGTTCTGAATAATACTGTGGAAGCAATTTTTCTTTAGAAAAATGGATTTCATTTAGAAGAGATTAAATTGTTTTGGATAGAGTAGAGTTAGAGTATTATCTGGTACCACTGATACTCTTTTCCAGAAAGACTAATTACTTATAAGACTAATCTTTTCAGCAAATATTCCATGATCAGGCCGAAGAATTATATGGCACAAATAAGGCAATATTTAGCCTCATTAGGCTAATGACCACCCCTAATGTCTTGTGGTCTTTAGAGAGAGATCAGGTGAGATGAGAGATTAAATGTGTCTTTATAGCATCAGATCCCTCTCCATGGCACCAGAGCCTCAGTGCTCACACCCTCACTGGTGTTTGGGTGGCATTTCTCCTGCCACTGATGGCACCCTGGTAGGGATGTCTGAGAAACACCTAGGCTGGAACCTGCTCTTCTGAGCTTTAGGCCAGGATCTGTTCTTGTCTCTGTGAAACTGGTGACTCCCAGTGTGTGAGACAGGAAGCCTCTGTTGCACCCCTGGGATCCCTGCTGACACCTGCAGCAGTGGAAGATAAACACAGTCTGAGCTGGAACAGTCTAGGAGAAGGGGAGGATGTGAACAGAGGATCAGGGCTGGAGAAAGGAGTTTGAGAAGAGGCTACCAGGACTAGACAGAAGTTCTGGAGGCAGGGGTAGAGGGGCAGAGATGAGGTGGAGCACTTGTGCCCATGGCATGGAAACCCCCTTCAGCCCAAACCCCATGTCCCAGCTGGATGTGGGTGGTAAAATGCACAGCTGAAAAGCTGCTTTCTAAAGAGGGAACAGCATCAAGATGCAAAGTTGGGAAATACTGGAGAAAGGGACATCCCTGCTGCCCTGTCCCATCTAACAATGCAGTCACACAAACTTTTTTTTTAATGGGTTTCTTCTTGTCTCCTGCATAAGATGGACAGTGCTCAGATAATGAGCAGCTATTCCTTAGTTTGTATTCTCCTCATTTTCTACTGAACAACTGTAGGTCTTATTTACTGAATACTGCCCTGAAAACAGAATTATTAATTTGCTTGTGTATTTTTTCTGAAACATTAATTACAACAGTTTCAGAGTTCATCAAAACCTGTAATCATACTCAGGTTTGTCTCTATTTAACTGATGTAAAATTGAGCCATGAAGGAAACATTAAAGGTTTCTTTCAGTTTTGGGCCATTTCTGGCTTCTCTGTATCCTCAACATCATACAGCACTTTTCGTGTTCATTGTGTCCCTCACCATTTGCTTCTGGTAGAGCCCAGGCTTTCTTCAAGTCATGTGCCAGGGGTGTTTCTCAGAAACCCAAAAATAAAGCTTAGACCTCAGGGATCATTAGTAAAAGTTTGGGATATATGAGTCACTCATCACCAAACATCTTCACCCAAAGCCTTCTTCACCTTCTGCAGCACTCCCCAGCTTTGTTCCTTGTGCACTCTCTGTCTGCCACAAATGCCAAGGAGCCCTTTGGAAAGCAGACACCTTCCCTGATTCATCCTTAAGGCAGCTCCACCCCAGACAAAGAAGAAGGAAAATATGGGTGCAGAGGTTAGGGTGAAGGGAGCATCTCATCATGCAATTAAAAATTGCATCATAAACCATCCACTCATGCCTGGCCTTTTCTAACTTTTCACCCTGATAACCACCCCATGCAGTGTAAAATATCAGCAAGCATAGGACTGCTTCACCTGGCTATTTTTTACTTAAGCTAATATTATTCTTTCCCTCTAAGAATTCCAGATAAATTGACTGCAGTTAATCATTTCTCCTTGCACCTTTTTGGAGTAACCCAGGCTGACAAAACAGACAGCCGTGAGAGTAGGTGTGAGCAGGGCTCAACTGACTGTAGGGAAATGCCAGGCAGCTTCTGAAGGCACAAACAAAAACAGGGCACTGTGGAAAACCATGTTCTGAGGGTGGGGAGGGAATTTGTGTCCTCCCATTTGCATCTCTCTATATGCCATCTTTGCCTGGAATAAATGTCTTTGTCCACATGAAAGCTGAATCAGATTACTTTCCCCTATCTGACAGAAAAGAAAGCTTTATAAAATGGGTGTGACTTTCATGGTGTGTTGCAACTCATTTTTAGAAATATGTGTCTGCCTATGCCAGTAGTTACCCTATTTTAAATCACTCTTGTGCATTTACTAATGATCTTTGCATTCTTGTTGAGTGAAAATTTTCTAGTTAGTAAACACCACATTATTATAAAAGTAGACTGTCAGGTAGATTGAGAAGAAAAAAAAACACGTTTTTTTTTATTTTCATTTCTTTAACCTCTTTACAAGTTCTAAGTACTTTTTTTTCACTTTTTGGCTTAGTCCACAGTTTTGTCACATATGTCTGGGTTTAAGGTTTTTTTGAACATCCCTTTAAATGGGTGGTAACAATGTTCTGGTGCCTCAGCAAGTTCAAGGGGAAATATCAGCCACATATTTCAAACCTCTCCCAAAAGCATAATAAACCTCTTTTGCCGAGTGAGCTGGCTTTTCTCCTGGATAGAGCAAGAAGAAAAGGGAAAGGTGGCAGAACAAGCAGGTGAATGGAACTACATAGCATTGGGTCAAAGTCTTTCCTGGCAAAACTCTTGAAACTCGGTAGAGATTAACTGTAGTTTCTTATGCACTCAGTTCCAGGTTTATTGGTAGGAATGACTCACATTAATTTGGGACCATCACAGATGAAAGATAGTAAAATATTTTAGGAGGGTATCAAAGACTGGAAACAACAAATAGCAATGGAGAAAAAAAAGCAAAAACTCAAAAGATATATTTTTCAATCTGGGCAGAAAAATAGGTCTCTTCT